CATGAATCTGTATCCACATGAATCTGTATCCACATGAATCTGTATCCACATGAATCTGTATCCACGGGACGCTGCATGCACACACTCTTGGGTTCGAAAGCAACAAGAAATGATAGGTGAGCAATCACAGGGAAGGACATAGGATTGCAAAAACACACACACACACACACACACACACACACGCAGAGGAGCAAACGCATACATCTGGGTCCGCACACACACACACACACACACACACACACACTGCAGCACAGAGTTGCAGCAGAGGTGTCCCTGCAAACTGTCCCGTCAACAGCCCTCAGTCTAAAAGAAGTCCCACATCATTCAGAGAGCACAACCACCACAACGTCCCAAAACGAGTCCCAAAAACGAGTCCCAAAAACGACAACAACGACCACCGGCCACCCAACAAGCTAACGCCAGCCTCCGGCCCGAGCCACAGCCGACGGATGTCCGGCAGAGTACAACATGGACTTACTTCTGCCAAATATTCGGCCGCTTCCTCCACTGCCATGTTTCTCAGCCTGCAGCTGAAAGTGTGAAACCTGAGCAGTCAATTACTCTGGGAAGCTAGGGAGAGAAGGATGGGGGCAAGAGAGGAGAGGCAGATAGGGGGAGGGCCTGTCTCCAAGAGGGAGAGAGAGATAGGGGGCATTATGTCACAGCTAAAAATACCTGGCCAGCAGTGAGAAAGTCCAGAGCATGGTGGGGAGGGGGGACTCGTGGATGGGTGGGGGGGGTGGGGGGGGGGGGCACGGGATCAGAAGGACAACGCTCTGCTCAGAGTGGAAATGTGTGGCCGTCCAACCAGCTGCCGCAGTCACAAGTGGGAGAAAAACTCTTGTGCAACTTTGAACTTTTCCCTCGTTACTTTTACACTTTTCGCTCTTCTCCACCCCGAGCGCAGGTCAAAGGTCACTTTTCAGATGGATTCAAGCATAAAACAAACTAAATGAGACTTCTGATCCACGTGGGAATGGATGCAGGACCTCTGGATACAGACTCTACCAGCAGCTCTTTCTAAACATGTGGGTGGGGGAGTGGAAGCTAACGGGCTCGTTGTGCTCTCATGCTAACATTGATTTTTGCATGTGCACTCTCAGAAAAGAAACATCCAATTGCACCTTTAGGGGGTCTGGACTTGTCAATTTGGTGTTTCTCTCAAAGTTCTTGCTGTTGTACCCTTGTAGTTTGTCAGGTATATAACTTCACCTTTCTGGGGGGCTTTAAAAGTACAAACATGAGCCTTGGGGTCCATTTATTAGCCAAATGGTGTCGAGGAAGTACCTTTGTACGCATAACCGTACTCCTATTGTGCTTTTTCTTTAAAAAATGTGTGTTATCTGTGATTTTGGGACAGCATCCTCAGCCTGTACCTCAAACCTGATTGTTAACCTTGCCATCTTTTGCATGGTCAAAAATGGCCACCATAAACTTTCTTTGAGAGGATTTGTTTTGGTGTGCACACAGTGGCTAACAGTAGATTCGGCAACGCTGGCTTTACCTTTAAAACTAACCAACCCTGCGCTAGTTAATCAGTTAAAGGTCCTGGAAAGTCCCCGGATGAGGACATCCGAGCTGCAGCTGAGGTTATTCGGATTTTCCGGGGTCAGTGACATTGTTAAAACGCACACTGAACCAACACATGGACTTTCAGACAGCGAGAGAATGAACGAGGAGTTTCTTTTTGGGAAAACACAGTGTGAGGCAATAACCACTCGCAGTCGTATAAAAAGCCTTGGCTTGTGCTGTAAATAAGACTTTTCATTCACAGGTGAGCTTATGCATGATCCTGTCGAAAGGTGAAATGCTCATTTTATTTCATGTTAACGATTTGGTTGAATGCTCAAACAATGTAATTAACCTCTTTTCAGGACAGTAACACTGACTGATTTCTGCAGAACTCAACCCAAGAACACAATGATGGTATGTATCAGGCACGGAAGGGACCTTATTCATTGTAAATAAATAAATATATATATGTATTTGAATATATGTATGTATTTTCTCCCTCAGATCAGAGTGGTTCTAGCTGTGATGTTTCCGGTAGCAGTGTATGCGTCCACTCTGCCGACCGACTGCAGTGACGTTTACAAATCGGGTTCCGGCCACGACGGAGTGTACACCGTCTACCCGGCAGGTCCCACCTCCCCCGTTCAGGTTTACTGTGACATGGGCCGCGACAATATTGACGAGTCTGCAGAAAAGTGGACGGTGAGGATCAAAGGACAGGCTGTTGTTCGGACCGTCCATTTCCTCCCTTTGTTGTGCATTACGGAGGCCGTACTGAAATGGGCCATTTTCCAGCTAACGCTGCTGACCTGAGCTCACTTTTTTTATTTTATTACATCATATGTTGAGAACATATGATCATATTTGTCTTTTTCTTCCTAAAACACAGGTTTAGTGTTCAAATTTGTACTGGAACCATGTTAAAACTGTATGTTTTTCCTCTAAATGTTAAACGTGTTCAGAATTTAGTTAATTTTACCTTATTTATTTTCTACTGTTACAAGTGGTTGCTTCTATATCTATCTATAAACTGTGAGAAATTAGCACGTCTCAGCTGCTAAATCGTGTGAGCTTTGTGCTCATCTTTGTGGGCCTTATTGTGCTGCACAATCACCCGATTATCTACCTCATGAAGGACCTGACAGCGTAGCTGTGTGTCGTATGACCAAAACAACCAGACGGAGGCTGAAATGCTGCTTAATTGATTGCATCAAAAACGTAATTGACTCATAACTTACTTAAGTTGGCTTTTTTCTATCTCACTTCTCCCTAAACGCAGGTCATCCAAAGGAGACAAGATGGCACAGTTAACTTCTACAAAAAGTGGGAGCATTACAGAAATGGATTTGGCAGTGCGGCGGGAGAATACTGGCTCGGTATGACAGAAACTGCTGTATTCTGAACCAAAATCCACCCCATGAAGGTTTAAAGCCCTGATATGGGTTTTTGATGTATTAGTCACTGATGTGCATGCTAGATTGTTAAATACGTAACTACTATTTAATTCCGAAGTCTATTATTCTCACAATAGGAAAGTCAGACTGCTTTAATGGACTCAAAGCACTCATCAATCACCAGTGTAGTTCTGGATTAGACATTACAGACGAAGCATTATTAATATATGCCCAAAGATATTTGAAACACGGTCAGATCGTGTGATTACAGCCACTCCTGGTTCTTGTTTTAGGCCTTGAGACGATGCACCTGATGACTCGGTCAAAATCATACGAGCTGATGGTCGACATGGAGGACTTCGAGGGTCAGAAAGTCTTTGCCCTTTACTCCTCTTTCGCTGTGGGCCCAGAGTCAGAGGGATACCGGCTAAAGCTGGGGACCTTCGTCAAGGGAGCGGCAGGTCTGTTTCCCTGAGTTCTGGGATTCGACGGGAAGTCAAGCCGACCCTTTGCTGACCGGTGTCCTCTTCGTTTCTCCATCAGGAGACTCTCTAAGCGTTCACAACGGACAGAAGTTCACCACGCACGACAGAGATCAAGACACCCACGGCTCAAACTGCGCGCGGCTGTACTACGGCGCGTTCTGGTACGCGGCGTGCTTCGCCGCCAACCCCAACGGGGTGTACAGCTGGGGGTCGTCGCAACGCGTAACTGGTGTCCAGTGGAAGACCTTCAAAGGGCTCGAATACTCCCTGAAATCCATCACAATGAAGATCAGACCCACCTCTGTGACGCAAGCCCTTTAGCCATCTGACTTTATTATCCTTTTACTATCCCACTATTATCCTAAATGCTCACTTTGGTTCATTTTGACTGAACACTTGGAGAGTGTAATTTGTTCTAAATGAAAGTGTCACTCTGTTTTAATACCATTTTTAAGATATTGTAGCAGACAATGTGTGTAAGGCTGAATAGATTATGAAGATGTTTTTAGTTTTGATGTTTCCATCATCCGGTTTAATGACAATGTTAAAAAAAGACTTTAGTGTTAAAGAGAACCAGCAGTTCTAGGAGACAGACAGCTGTCTGAACAGGTTTCAAAGGAAAACACTGCAATCCGCATGGTCAGACATGTCAGAAAATACTCAGCAGCAGTGCTGACAAACTGACAGCACTGACAGAAAACTGACAGAAAAAAAATGTGTCGGGGGTTTGTACTTTTGGAGTGATGCGATCTGCATACTGTTTACATTTCTTCTCATTTGTGGTGAATTAACACAAAGAGAGATCTATGTCTTTGTGAAGGGAGCATAGAAAATAAACATTTTTTTCGCTATCCAGTGGCTGATCAGCTACCTGTGTCAAAACGTACCCACGTTTGTTTCAAAAGGCTGCTTTTGTGCCTTATTGCATCTGCGAAGAGGGGAGCCGGGGTACAAAAGGCAGAGAGGCTGTTGCTATGGCAACTGACGGCCCTAAATTTCACGGTTTCCTCGCCTGCAGTGGGATGGAGCTGAAACTATTACCTTAACAACCCGTGTCTAATGGCACTACCTCTGGGCCCCCCGCATACAGATAATACTCCAAAAGGAGGAAAACAGCAGAGAAAAAGTTCATTTCCAAAGAACCGATCAGTCATCTGTGCAAGCTGAAGTTTGACAATTGGTAGGTATAAGTTGGACAATGACAATGACCGAGAAGGCCAGATTGACCTGATTGAGCAAATCCACTGTTTAGTCTATGAAAACAAACCAAAACCATCCCCACATCGGCCATTCTGCATCGTAACTGCGCGATTTACTACAGGCATCTGGTCTCTGACACTTTGCTGAGACACACGTGATCACGCAAAGCTCACAGGGCTCCTGATCATTAGTATTCAGGTCCTCTATCAGTCCCTGGTGGTCAGTGTGTGGTACTGCATCAGCTGCAGTGCCACACACCCGAAGGCATGACAATGTAACACCCTCGCACGGTCTGTGAGAGGAAAGAAGTCTCTGAGACAGTTTGTTCTGAGGAAACGTGATTAAAAATATACAGAATATACTTATTTTAGTACAATCGCTAACACCCCTGATATTGTATCGAGAACAGGAATCAAAGTGCCTTCACTCTTCCGTAATAAAAGGGATTGTTTGTTATTTCCGGTGATGTGACAACACACAACGCACAAAGTGTGTGTTTGGTTTGAGCGTGTTGTGCCTCATCTGAGTGGATGCTGAGAGCTGCGGTCTGATTGGCTGCTTGACTACTGCAGTCTCCGTGTTTTCACAGCACTCCAGATACCGACGGAGGAGGAGGACGAACGCAGTGTGTACAAACTATTCATCGCCCCCTTTTTCTGCCATGCCCTGATGCTTCATGTAGCGGAGACCAGCCTCCAGATTTGTGATCCGGCGCCCACATTTACCGCCCTGACTTACACACCGGCATTTTTAAAGATGCTCCCACACTCCAGACATGGGGGCACGAGCATCACAAAGCCCGATCCCTCCTCAAGCCGTCTTATGATTGGCCGGCTGGTCTGCCCCTCTGGGTTCCTACTGGGTGGCAGCAGGTGACGTCACTCTGCCGTGCAGCTGGAAAACAGGCGGCCGGTGTCAGGCCGTGCGTGCGAGCGCCTATATGTGGGCATATGATGACCGAGGAGCAGGCGGACACACAAACGGCCAAAGCGGAACAACACTGCCCACGCTGCTGGCTCGGGTGTTTCCAGAAGCAAACTCAGCTCAGACCTGACCCACAACCAGGTCCAGAAAGGAGGGCACCGGCTACGGCCAAGACTGCTGATCTCCTCCAAGAGGGACAGAGACACGGCACTGGTCATGAATAAATCAACGTCTACGCTCGAGCGAAAGCACACACAAAGCACGCAGGGCACCAACAGGGACGGGGCCGCCGGCGTGTGGCCCACGCACGCAAACAAAAGTCTCCTTTTCACAAGATTCGCGGCATCTACTTCCTCCCATTATGAACAGGACTTAATTGCTAATGGATTTTCAGGCAATATTGATCTGAATGTAGCGAGACTGAGAGACAGCAGCCATGTGAGGAGCTCAGCTTTCCAGAGTGACCGCCAGGACATGCTGTTGTTGATCCACGCTATGGACATCTGCGATAAGCAAGGTCATTTTAGCCAATAGCAACAACGGGATGGATCAGAATGCCATCACTTTTGCAGATATCTAGCTTAAAACACCTTTATGTTCCGCTGAAATTTAATATACTTCACCCTATGAGCACAGTGCCAGTTTGCACAACACGGAAAACTATCCATCTACTTGAAGACAACATGTTTTAGGCATTGCAAAGCCCAAAATGTCAGCCTCGAGAGGAAATTGATTAAACCAGAATAGGCCAGATTCATTAGCTTTATGGTGCAAATCTCAGGCTAAAAACAAGGTTATGCATATATAACTTAGCAGACGTGATATACTTGCGGAATTATACAAACCTACTGGAGCTAGCCCATGGGCAACCCTTATAGCAATCAACTGATGAATGATTAGATCACATTATAAAATCTATTAATGAAGGAAATATTTCAACCTCCAGAAAGCTACACCTCTAAAATGCTAATCACTTTGGATAAAAGCATCTGCTAAATGCATAAACATAAACATAATTATAGGGCGGATAAAAAGACTTTAGATGTATTGAGTATTTTCTGTTTAGCTCTTGTCCCAAAGATAAAAAAAAGTCTCCTTTTTTAAACAAAACGGATTCACTGGAAATTACAGTAAACGGTTAAGAGCAACACTGCATGAGCATTGGCCAAAACTAATTAAGGAATTGCTGGGTAAATCGATAGAGCACTTTAGCGGGATGTACAACATCAGCATGGCTGCTTCCGCTCACTGCTGACTCTCTGACCTCCCAGCCATCGCCCGCCACAGACAGCCAGCTGAGGGATCCTTCTTTTTGGAAACATACAGACCGCCTATGTTATTATGCAGAATAAGCGGCAAACCACTTATGCCACTGATATTTACGAGCTTTAAAAACAAATTAAACTTTGAACTGAAACAACTTCCTAAGTATTTTTTTTTATTACATGTTGGCATAAAATGGCAGGTTAAGCCATTCAGGCTGCCATCATTATGCAAATGTATCAGAAACAGCGGTAGGACTTTTTAAAAACTGCCCTGAGGGAGTTTACAGTTCATTAATCTTCGTCACGACACCAAAAAATAAATTCTGCTTCATACATTCTTGTAATAATTTCCCAATGTTATCCACACATCAGGTAAACTGAGCTGTTCGACACGCTTTTAAACGGAGGTTCAGGCCTCCGATCCGGAGCGAGGCCCGTTGCTGAAATGCAGAACACCGTCACAGGCCGTGGGATTTTGTGTAAGCTTCACGCTTTATTGGATCTTTTCATAAGCTCCACCGATGATTCACAGGGAAGCAATTCACTCCACAATGGCCGGATGTGGGCGACAACCTCATGCTCCCCAGCAGTAGCTGCAGTTTAGGAGGCAAAAGCCACAGTCGGCTCCCCTTAAAACAAGAAGGCGCCCTGGATTGCTACCTCAGCTTCAAGTCAACGCCGTCTTTTCTGCTTTTTTTTTTCTTCTCTGAGCTGTTCCTAACAAGGCAGAGAAAATGAAAAATGCGCTTATTGTGGAGGATTTTTGCAAAGGCCGCTGCTGTGATGAAACGCCCACCGGGTTTGCTTTAAATTTGCTGAAGAGGTGCATAGATGAGTGGAAGCTACAGTAGCAGCTGCTTTCATGTTATCCAACAGCAAGAACTCACATTTAAGTTTTTTCCCTAAAAACAATCCGGGTATGCTAATTCACAAGCGCATGGAAACATGCTCAACGCATAAACGGAAACTTGCTGAAAGCAGACGGGCATCGATATACGCTTCTTAAACTGTTGCAAGCAGAGTTACGACTGTGACACTGAACTCACATTACCAAAATGCAACTGTTAAAGGTTAAACTAGCTAGCTAGTTTCCAAGCTTCTTCCTCCACATTCTGACCAAAGAAGCTAGTGAGCCAGTGGGCTGATGTACAGCCGTTTATGGTTTGGTCTTCATGCAGCATCACAGCAATTTCATGTGAGATTTGTGAGCCCTGCTAGACAGGAGCTGATGAAGAGGCAATGGAGGTGGTCTTAGGTTTAGACGTATTTCGTTTGTGGCTTAAATCGCCCTAACTTTAAGTCAAACTTGCACTGAGCAGTCTCCACCCCAGAGCAGGATGTTTTAAACCGGATATCGTCAGACATGATCGGTGCCTGAGACAAAACAAGCTTCCTCAGCCTCTCTTTTGTGTCCTCTACACACAGAGAAGATAAAAGACGCTGCGGTGACGTGTGCGTCAGTCTGTTCCTATCTGATCAAGGCCGATCTCCCGCTGCTCGCCTTCCAAATGTCGTCTCACAGCGGAGGGCTTGGAGAAAAGTTGTTTTCCCTCCCAGACTCACATCCTGTTTGTGTGGTGAGTCCCGGCTGGACCCGGGCCACGGATCAACACCTCGCCCACTGAGAAAAACCTTCAAACGCCCTGCTTTTCACCCTTTTTTAGGACGCAATGTATAAAGATTTCCGAACACAAACAGCTTAAGGTTAATTTCTTTCGCATATTTCACAGGAAGCATCCGGATAAAGCGACTTCTTTTGATGCAGAGGAGCAGCAGGTCTCCTCTGAGGTCCCCCGCCGATGTGTGAGCTCCTGATCTTGTCTAAGCATGAGCCCCACCCAGCTCCTGCTGAGAAGTTGTTCTAAAAGAAGAATAAGTACCCGACAAGCTGTATATAGTCCAGCATCAGACAAGAGAAATGCTAGCCTTTGAGGAAAAATTCAATTGGTGTGTGGTCTGAGCTCTCAGGCTCTTTACTGTGGGCTACGCATGTCCAAAGAGGGGAAAAAAACACACAG